TATATTAATAAATATCGAATTTATAAACAATAAGAGAAAACATTTTGTATTTACATTATCGATCATTAACTCGCAAACATTTGAGGAAAATTAAATTTTCGACAGCATAACCATTTATGTAAAACGATACCTTGCGTTTTAGCTAGTTCATTTTTGTTTTTAATACAAAAGTCGACATTTATATTTAGCATAGAGTAGTCGGCAGCATCGTAAATCTGGAAAAGCTGTTTTGCTACGCGCCGCTCGAAAGAACGCAAACAACGATGCGAACTTTTCGGTGATACGCTTCGCGAGATACGGTAGGATTTAACGCAGCTAAGCTATCCCAATTTACGAAACGTGGAGGAAGAGAAGAACGCCTCGTTCAGTTTTTATCTATCACGCGTCACTCGCGAAAAGCCATTCTCGCAACGTGTGTAAGTAGATGTGTGTAGTAACTTGGCGTGTACGCGCGTTCACCAATACGCACGCAGATGCACGCCGGTTACGTCGTTCTCCGGGCTGCCTTGTGCCAAAGGGTACTGAACCTGACCCAAGGGGCATTGCTCTTGCGCTGCGTTTCTCCGTTCCTTTTCTGTTAGATCGCTACACACACCGGTCGTCGCGTTAGCCAAAGCGAGCAGGTATCATTGCGGAGAACTTGGCTCGGTACATCGCGGATGGCAGTCAAAAACACGAATACGCGGCAATATGTGAGTGCACATGTGCTTCGTATCCTAGATAAATTGAATGAAACCAGTTGCATATATTTTTCCGTATATTTTCAAATTAAAATCACTCACTAAACGGAGATTCGATGACGTAAGCATAAATTATATTCAATGTATACATGTATCAAAAATTTGACGATGCAAAATGGTTATTTTTTAGTAAAAAAAATTTTAAGCTCTCGAGATATTTTTAACATACCTATATATCGTTTTTATTTTTATGTATTTATGAAGCCTATCGGGCATTCATCGGTAAATCTACGCGATCTAAGAGTGTCGTGTAGACGAGTTTCTTCTGTTCCATATACCTGAGCCTTTCACCTTTCACGTGAATCGGTAAATAAGCCGAATATTACACACCGGATTTTTTTAGAAAATCATGTAAACAGACACGTCTGAAAATTTTATTTTGTGTCTTCTAATTTTTAGAGAAAGAGATTAAATCACACGAGTCAGCGAGTTGTGAATTATGTGTAGAAAAGAAATCCACATTTTATAAAAGAGAGAGTGTAATTAATGCAATCTTATAGAATATAATTGTGATATTTTATTAATATCGGAAGTAGACTCGAAAGATGAAAACATTAGATAGATAAGCCACTTAGAATGTTGCATACATATAATAAATATTATTAAATATTACTTAATGGATAATCAATGTTAATTTATTAAATAAATGTAGAATTAATTAAGTTTCCGACTCGCATTGGCGCACATATATGTATAATAGAAACTAGTAGTTTCTAAATAGAGAGCCTTACGTCTTACGAAAATTGTGCTGTCCATCATACGTTATAGATACAAATCTCTCTCGAATATATTTATGTTAGGCTATTATACTATTATACCAGCAGCCGTATCGCCGCTTCTAGCAGACATTCAAGTACGCACTAAGCACTCAAGGACATTCGTCGCTTTGCGTCTGGCTTTTTTGCTAACACCGTTAGAGGTTGCAGACGGTCACGACGAATGACGGATATTTATACGCGAACGTTCTAGCAGCGATTATGACATTCGAATAGATTGTCGTTAATAGATCTCCTTTTTATAGCGAATGTCACATTTGTTTAATTATACTTCGTATATTAAATATATCGATGAATAATCATCGAGAAACATGATATGTCCACACTACATATAATATCTAAAAGTTCAAAGATTAAACAATTATCACATTAATTTTGACAATGTCAACCTCGAAGTCAATTTTTAACAGATGAATCTCTTCAGATTAAAATAATTGGCACAATTTATGTGCAAATATATCAAATTGTTTAGAATTAATATTATCATGCCTTATAATAAGAATTCTTGTCATAAATACACGAGTCCAATCTTATCTTTCGGGAAATATATTAAGTATCGAATACACATTTGCAACAAAAGATAGACAAATAATGTAAGATCCAACGCGTTTTTTTTTTTTTTTAAATTGCGACTATTTATTTTCAGACTTTTGCTATATTATTTATATTCTATAGAAAAAAATGAAGAGAAGGAAGAGAAATAAATTAAGCGGAATGTAGCGACGGATAGATTGCGCATTAGTTGAGATGCCAAAAGTAGCGTGAATATTCGACACGTGACGCATCTTTTAACGATACCGTTAGAGGTCCCAGACGGTCAAAATGGTTCTAGTCTCTTTCTATACCATAACAGAAACCACGGCCATACAAATAGAAAGCCACGAACGAGATAGACGTGGTCTTGAGCGTTATTTCATCATCTGTAAGATAGTCTAGGCTCTAATTACATCACGGCGCGTCTGCGAGTTGATTAAACAAATAGGCGTCAGTCAGTGGGCAAACAAAAAAAAAACCACACACAATATGTAAGTTTAATAAAAAAATATTACAATGATCAATGCGAAATTAAACTTAATTATAAATAGCATATAATTATACCGCGGGTACAGTAGATATACAAGATACCTAAAAAAATACTACGTTATTTTATATTCTATTTTCTTACAAATTTGCTTTTTTAAATTTAATTAAATTTAATTTTTTTTATAAGGCAATTATTTGTCATATCACGCTGTATTTAACTGTTAATATTACATTTGATATTATATAAATAGGCTCTCCCTTTTTAAACTTGGGTTCTTTGAAAAAATTATTTTAATTCCGTAGCATTATACTTGTGCTTTTGCGATTAGTAGAAGCCCAAAGACTAGCCAACGGAAATATTTCATCGTCGAGGTCAGGCTCTAATGCGTCATTCGTAATTGATTATGAATGTTTGATGCATCAAGGAGAGAGGAATGACGACAACGTCTCTCGAGGATTCAAGGTTCCCCAATGTGATTTGCACTTATATTGAATTGCTTCCTTAGTTTGCTTATATTATGTCAGTATATTATATCACGTTACATAACGCCAATCTATAATGTTTAGAAAATACAAAATATTAGTAATTTTGTAAGCTTTTTTAGTTAGAAAAAAGATATATGATATATAATAGTTTATCTCTTAAAATTTCAGATTTTACCCCAAAAAGATCGTTAAAAAATACTGCATTTGTAAGATTATTTATGAAATGCAAAATTAATGTAGAGAGAGGAAGTATTTCTTCCTTACTTCTTTAAAATAAATAGAGATATTATTTTAAACACTTTTTTTATGTCGTGTCATCTATTAGAAAATAAATAAGAAATATTGTGAAAAAAAAATTATGAATAAAACAGCCATCGATATCGCTGTTGTTGCAACATAAAGTTTCTTTTATTTAATTTTATTATTATTATATCCTACAAGGTAATTATAATAATAATTATTATTGATTAAATATTATTATTGATTAAATATTATTATTAGCTCTATTATATGTTTTGTTATAATAAAGTTAATAACGTTTATTACATTGGGAAATGAACATATCCGCATCTCTTTCTTTCACATAACGCTTACATATTAATGTCAGTCGCTTTGGGCGCTCATGTAACATTTATGGCCGACGGCAGTTTCAGAAAAGACAGCCACGACAGATATGAATTGGCTACTCGAATTTGTTTGACCTTTATGATAAAAACCGTGCCAGATAAAAAGTAATGGTAACTTTGGTGAACGGTACATACAACAGCTTTGAGTTTCATCTTTCTATTTTCACAATAGGCGAATATGCCACTTGATATTTTTGCGCCAAAATATTTGCGAATAATCGAGCGAAATCTAATCTCTCTTGGCCGCGAGAGGCAAAGATGCACACGACAGACTCGAAAAATTTCTGTATGTTAAAAAAAAATCTTACTCTAGTCAACAAAAATAAAATCATAAAACCGCCATTTATTGGCTCCAATAATTTTTTTTTTTATTAAAGAGAAATTTAAATATTATATCATTTGTTTCAAGCTAGCTAGAAAGTAGCAATGTCATTTTTTCCAGAACTGTCTATAATTTTTCTTCCTTTCAATTGTTATCTCTAGAGAAGCCTCTTATAACGAAGTTGTGATTTTTTTTTCTATCAGAAATGCGATACGCGAGAGCTGCGAATAAAGCTGCAGTTTCGGAACCGCGTTTGCATGACGACGGTCAGCGAAATAATATTGACATAGTGCTGGCAAATGAACAGAGACCTCCTTATGGTTCGTAGTCGAGAGATAAGCTAATCTCTATCATAGTCTGGTACGCCTCGCGAACATATAGCAAACAACGGGCCTTATCACTTTATAACGACTACGTCATTCGATAACTGCGCTTCGT